AAAAGAAAAAAAAAAAAAAAAACTTCGACCTACCGACCCTATACTGAAATTTCATGTTACCGGACACACACTATCCTTTTTTGTTTGGCCTTATCGTAAAAAATATTAACTGGAATTTTCATTTACGGTACATGGCTACGGTGTTGTTTCACCCACGACTGTTTTGTACAAATAAGAATAACAAGCTAGCAATTGACCAAATGTCAACATCTCAGGCATTATCAGAGGTGGGTACTCATGTGCTACACTTACTCTTACTAAGCACATTTGTGAATAATATGTACCTGTCAACATACTTCTTTCTCTTACATCAGTATTTTTGTTCAGAAGAAACACTACTTTTACTCCGTTACAACTAGCATACATTTTGCTCACTACTTTTACAAACTCCATTTTCAAAAGAACATCTATGTCATACATCGTCATAAATGTCCACATTTCAGCCTACAGGAACTCCATTTCAAACTTGGGTTAGCATGTTTGGTGTTTTCTATGTAATCTCAATTTGGTGAGTCTATTTGTGCTTTTTGATGAGTGTGAATAAAGCAATTTCATGAAAAACCATTTCATTCATCCACCTTCCAGACCAATTATCCTCATTAGGGGTGGTGGTGGTGTACACGAAACTTTAACAGCTGACTTTGGGAGGCTCGGTATCACTGGGACTGATTGACATCCAATCAAAAGGGCACATATACAAACTCAATTCCAATGAAGTTTTGGACATTGTGTTAAACATACATAAAAAGAGAATACAATGATTTGCCAATCATGTTCAACTTACATTTAATTCATACAGTACAAAGACAATATCTTGTATGATGAAACGGATAAACTTTACTGTTTTTAGCAAATAATCATTAACTTTGAATTTTATGGCTGCAACACATCCCAGAAAAGCTGGTACAGATGGCAAAAAAGACTGAGAAAGTTTAAAATGCTCACCAAACACCTGTTTGGAACATCCCACAGGTGAACAAGCTAACTGGGAACCGGTGGGTGCCATGATTGGGTAGAAAAGGAGCTTCCTTGAATTGCTCGGTCATTCACAAGCAAAAAAATGGAGCAAGAATCACTTCTTTGTGAACAACTGCATGAGAAAATAGTCGAACTGTTTAAGGACAATGTTCCTGAACGTACGATTGAAAGGAATTGAGGGATTTCATAATCAACGCTCCATAATATCATCAAAAGGTTCAGAGAATCTGAAGAAATCACTGCATGTGAGCGGCAAGGCCGAACACCAACAATTGACTGCCCGCGACCTTTGATCCCTCAGGCGGCACCGCATCAAAAACCGACATCAATGTGGACAGGATATCACTACATGGGCTCAGGAAAAACTTCAGAAAACCAATGTCAGTAAATATAGTTCTTTGCTACATCCGTATGTGTAACTTAAAACTCTACCGTGCAAAGCAAAAGCCATTTATCAACAACACCCAGAAACACCGCCGCCGGCTTCTCTGGGCCTAAGCTCATCCCGGATGAACTGATGCAAAGTGGCAAAGTGTTCTGTGGTCAGATGAGTCCACATTGCCAATTGTTTTGGGAAATTGTGGATGTTGTGTCCTCCAAGAGGGCGGCAGGGTGATCGACTGGTTAGCACGTCTGCCTCACAGCGCAGAGGTGCAGGGTTTGATTCCGACTCCGGCCTTCCTGTGTGGAGTTTATATGTTCTCCCCGTGCCCTTGTGGGTTTTCTCTGGGTACTCCGGTTTCCTCCCATATTCCAAAAACATGCACGGTAGGTTAATGGGATACTCTAAATCAGGGGTGTCAAACTCATTTCACATTGTGGGCCACATACGGCCTCGGTAGATGTCAAGTGGGCCGGACCATTAAAATTATACCATACTCTGCTAGAAATAACCAAAATAATATGTCTTTCCTTTGTTTTGGTCTAAAGAAGCAGAAGAACATTAAGAAAATGTTGAAATTTAATGAACATATCTGTTCCAAAACATTTCATGAAGCACCTTAGATTTCCTGAGACAAATGTGCAATTTAGTTTTATCATTCACATATATGCATTGCAACTGACCCTACTGTACAAAGGCACAAAACTTTAACAAGTAATTGCTCGTGAAAAAGATAGTAATGCACTTTAAGATTAAACGAGATTCATAAAGAAAGGAATTTTTAAACCATTGACACATGTGCATATAAAATCTAAATTTAATCCCTGCCTACACCTTACAAACTAATGAGAGTGCTATTAAATGTGTAAAGAATAAAGTATCCACATGTCCTTGATAGCGTCTGCTGTGTTGGGTCTGTCTCAGTGACAGACTGAGACTGCTGTTGTCTTCTTCTCTGATCAAAACAGTGTGTCCCCTATCGGATACTCCATGAATTGCACCTTATTAAAAATATTAATTCCGTGTCTATGCATTTTTTTCCTTTTAAATGCTCCTGCGGGCAACATCTCAGGCATTATCAGAGGTGGGTACTCATGTGCTACACTTACTCTTACTAAGCACATTTGTGAATAATATGTACCTGTCAACATACTTCTTTCTCTTACATCAGTATTTTTGTTCAGAAGAAACACTACTTTTACTCCGTTACAACTAGCATACATTTTGCTCACTACTTTTACAAACTCCATTTTCAAAAGAACATCTATGTCATACATCGTCATAAATGTCCACATTTCAGCCTACAGGAACTCCATTTCAAACTTGGGTTAGCATGTTTGGTGTTTTCTATGTAATCTCAATTTGGTGAGTCTATTTGTGCTTTTTGATGAGTGTGAATAAAGCAATTTCATGAAAAACCATTTCATTCATCCACCTTCCAGACCAATTATCCTCATTAGGGGTGGTGGTGGTGTACACGAAACTTTAACAGCTGACTTTGGGAGGCTCGGTATCACTGGGACTGATTGACATCCAATCAAAAGGGCACATATACAAACTCAATTCCAATGAAGTTTTGGACATTGTGTTAAACATACATAAAAAGAGAATACAATGATTTGCCAATCATGTTCAACTTACATTTAATTTATACAGTACAAAGACAATATCTTGTATGATGAAATGGATAAACTTTACCGTTTTTAGCAAATAATCATTAACTTTGAATTTTATGGCTGCAACACATCCCAGAAAAGCTGGTACAGATGGCAAAAAAGACTGAGAAAGTTTAAAATGCTCACCAAACACCTGTTTGGAACATCCCACAGGTGAACAAGCTAACTGGGAACCGGTGGGTGCCATGATTGGGTAGAAAAGGAGCTTCCTTGAATTGCTCGGTCATTCACAAGCAAAAAAATGGAGCAAGAATCACTTCTTTGTGAACAACTGCATGAGAAAATAGTCGAACTGTTTAAGGACAATGTTCCTGAACGTACGATTGAAAGGAATTGAGGGATTTCATAATCAACGCTCCATAATATCATCAAAAGGTTCAGAGAATCTGAAGAAATCACTGCATGTGAGCGGCAAGGCCGAACACCAACAATTGACTGCCCGCGACCTTTGATCCCTCAGGCGGCACCGCATCAAAAACCGACATCAATGTGGACAGGATATCACTACATGGGCTCAGGAAAAACTTCAGAAAACCAATGTCAGTAAATATAGTTCTTTGCTACATCCGTATGTGTAACTTAAAACTCTACCGTGCAAAGCAAAAGCCATTTATCAACAACACCCAGAAACACCGCCGCCGGCTTCTCTGGGCCTAAGCTCATCCCGGATGAACTGATGCAAAGTGGCAAAGTGTTCTGTGGTCAGATGAGTCCACATTGCCAATTGTTTTGGGAAATTGTGGATGTTGTGTCCTCCAAGAGGGCGGCAGGGTGATCGACTGGTTAGCACGTCTGCCTCACAGCGCAGAGGTGCAGGGTTTGATTCCGACTCCGGCCTTCCTGTGTGGAGTTTATATGTTCTCCCCGTGCCCTTGTGGGTTTTCTCTGGGTACTCCGGTTTCCTCCCATATTCCAAAAACATGCACGGTAGGTTAATGGGATACTCTAAATCAGGGGTGTCAAACTCATTTCACATTGTGGGCCACATACGGCCTCGGTAGATGTCAAGTGGGCCGGACCATTAAAATTATACCATACTCTGCTAGAAATAACCAAAATAATATGTCTTTCCTTTGTTTTGGTCTAAAGAAGCAGAAGAACATTAAGAAAATGTTGAAATTTAATGAACATATCTGTTCCAAAACATTTCATGAAGCACCTTAGATTTCCTGAGACAAATGTGCAATTTAGTTTTATCATTCACATATATGCATTGCAACTGACCCTACTGTACAAAGGCACAAAACTTTAACAAGTAATTGCTCGTGAAAAAGATAGTAATGCACTTTAAGATTAAACGAGATTCATAAAGAAAGGAATTTTTAAACCATTGACACATGTGCATATAAAATCTAAATTTAATCCCTGCCTACACCTTACAAACTAATGAGAGTGCTATTAAATGTGTAAAGAATAAAGTATCCACATGTCCTTGATAGCATCTGCTGTGTTGGGTCTGTCTCGGTGACAGACTGAGACTGCTGTCTTCTACTCTGATCAAAACAGTGTGTCTCCTAGCGGATACTCCAAGAATTGCACCTTATTAAAAATATTCATTCCGTGTTTTTATGCATTTTTTCACTTTTAAATTATCCTGCGGGCCTGATCGAACCTCCGTGGGGTCCGGTTCCGGCCCGCGGGCTGTATGTTTGACACCCTTGCTCTAAATTGTCCCGAAGCGTGATTGTGAGCGTGACTGGTTGTTCCTCTATGTGTGCCCTGTGACTGGCAACCAGTTCAGGACGTACCTTTTCTAATGCCCAAAGAGAGCTGGGATAGACTCCAGCACGCCCGCCGCGACCCTCGTGAGGATAAGCGGATTTGAAAATGAATGGATGGAAAGTTGTCTTCCAAGCCAAAGAGGAAAAGAACCATCCGGACTCTTATAGACGGAAAGTTCAAAATCCAACATCTGTGATGGTATGGGGCTGTGTTAGTGCCAAAGGCATGGGTAACTTACACATTTGTGAAAGCACTATTCATGCTGAAAGCTCCAAACATGTTTTGGAGAAACATATACTGCCATCCAAGCAATGACTTTTTCATAGCCGTGCTTATTTCAGCAAGACAATGCTAAAGCACATTCTGCATGCGTTACAACAGTGTGGCTTCGTAGTAAAACAGTTCAGGTACTAGACTGGCCTGCCTGCAGTCCAAACCTGTCTCCCATTGAAAATGTGTGGCGCATTAAGAAGCATAAAAGACGACAACAGAGAAATCAGATTGTTGAACAGCTGAAGCTGTACATCAAGCAAGAATGGGAAAGAATTCCACCTATAAAGCTGCAACAATTAGTGTCCTCAGTTCCCAAACGTTTATTGAATGTTGTTCAAAGAAAAGGTGATGTAACACAGTAGTAAACATGACCCTGTCCCAGCTTTTTTGGAACGTGTTACAGCCATAAAATTCTAAGTTAATGATTTTCTAAAAAAAATAATAAAAGGTGATCAGTTTGGCCATTAAATATCTTGTCTTTGTAGCGTATGAAATCAAATGTAGGTTGAATATCTTTTCCAAATCAGTGTATTCTGTTTATTTTAGGTTTAACACATCGTCCCAACTTCATTGGAATTGGGTTTGGAGACAAATTATCATTTACAGTCAAATTTACACCTAACGACAGATTGGAGTCTTCAATGAACCAAACATGCATGTTTTTGGAATATGTGGTGAAGCCAAGAAAACCAGAGCCTGGATTTGCACACGCAAACTGTGAGACGGATGTGTTAACCACGCCCCATCATGCTGCTAAGTTCTTCTGGTTGACTTTGCCTTAATTTGCTATCTTATAAATATAAAATGTATGTTACTACAGTGCACGTTCCTAGTTTACATTTTTGTCATTTTTGAGAGTTATTCCGATTTTTTTCAAATCACGAGTGACTCACACATTACTCAGGATTTGAGTGTTTTTTTTCTATGAATTCAGATTCAGCCAATTACTCACAGATTACTTTTCTCTTTTGCATGAGTCATATTATTCGAAAGTGGCAGTACTTGAGTACATTGTGGCTACTCTACCTACCTCTAGTCATGACTAATATGTTACGATGTGACAACATTTAAACCAGGTGCACATGCAGGCTTTCCGGGTGACGAAATTCAAAGCAACGTTAGGAGTGAACGCTGAAAACTTTGAGCAGTTACTAGAAGGAACAAGCGTGCAGCACACACAGCAGTTTTACAGCGTCCATGTGTGCATGAGGCTAACTGGAGTTTTTTGGGCCTTTTGAAAAGCTCCACCCTGAAGTATGGAGAAGGGGGGAGGGGCACCACTTTGGTACCCTCTTTCCGGTGAACTTTGCAAACACACGAGCTCGGTCTGAAAATTGAATAACGCTTTCAAATTGGATTGAAGCCTGTTAAGAGTGTGTGGCGGCATGTGCGCCTTGGCCGGACGGTGCAAAGCTACGCGTAAAGGCGTCAAACTTGTCACTCGAGTGCACACCACGATACGATGGGCCTGCGCAAAAAAATAAGAAAAGAAAAGACAGACAACGCAACTCCGTTGAAAGAATGTTTAAAATATCGACACTTACTTTTTCCCCGTCGTGCAACCTTCGTCCGTTCGCTTCAGCAGGGGCGTTATCCTTCGTCGCCTGGCCGTCTCGCACACATTTGAGGAGGACGGTCCCGTTTGTGGTCGCACCCGCCCGTAAGCCGCCGCCGGCGCTTTTCTCCAGCCGGTTGTCGCGGGGCACCGAGCGAGTTGGCCGGTAGCCGAAGTCCGCAGCTCCGAGCCGTGTCCCAACCACCGGCTTGTCCAAAACTGATCTCGAATCCATTTTAAGAGCGACCAAGTGGGGACTAAAGAAAGAAAACCCGCTTTCTGTAGATTTTAGTGCAAAATTCTCGAGTGAGATACATTTATCGGGATTGCTGGGAATTATTTGTATCGTCCTTCTACGTCTACTCTAACATGGGGCGTTTGGCTACCGGGGTTATCCAAAAAGCCGCCCGGTCCGGAGGATAAAAAAGATTGTTTTGCCTCTTTCCTCCAAAAGAATGACACGCCCCCTGTGCTTCAACTCTATTGGCGGTGACCGTACATAAACATTACACTCTGGCACGCGTCCACAGCAAGGCTCTCGGTGATTGGCCCATTTGCCCGTGTCAGTCATTTCTGCATGTCATCTAATTGGTTTAGAGGGAGGGGGTGGGCGTGCCCTTCATTTTCGCCGGCCGGTGTCTGTCGATGTCGACACCTTTTCGCCCGGCTGAAGCGAAGAACAGAAAAGGGAAACGTTCTGCGCACTTACGTTTATCAATCGAAATTAATGGTCGGAATGTTGTTGGACTCTTTTATCAGTAGACCAGGGGTTCCCCTAACTGGGATCCAGGGATTTGGGGGTTAGATGAGCCATACTTTGGGAACAATAAAAAACAATTAGCTGTATACTATCATTCAAAAATACACATTCCTATACATCCGGACTGGCACCCCCAAACCCCCCAAAAAGAGAAAGAAAAATACTAAACTACACTTCCCACCTTAGCGTTGGGCCTTTCAAAATTTCACGTGAATGTGACGAATGATCACTTCCTGTAATCTGACGTGCCTGCATGAATAAAGTTTTTTAGAACACAATTCACATTATTGCAGTCTTGTTTTTAGGGACTGAATGCACCTTCTCCAGAATATAGAGCATAGTAGAAAATGAGGGGTTTATAGCGTTGAACTGCTTGCAAGATTTGAACGTAGCTTTTCGTCACTAATCCCCCATCAGTGTTTGACCAAAACCACGCCCCTCGCGGATTTACACGAGAAGTGCACTGTGTTTATGAGCTACGATTTATTCTTCATGTGTTTGATTTAACTCAACAATGTTACAGGTTTTAGATTTTATTTTTTGGAATGTAAAAATGAAAAACAGGTCATAAATTTACCTGCTGAGCAGAAGTGTTGACAGACACAATCCTGATAATAATTTACCCGTAAGTATGGTGTGGAAGAAAATAGGGTATATTCTGTAAACGTATTTATTATGAATATAATGTTGGTATAAATTAAAATAATATTCAACACGCCCCCCCGTGAAGATAAACAGCTCGGATATTATTTTGGTTATTACGGTCACTGTTTTATGTTACTGCGATAGGCTGGCGACCAGTTCAGGGTGTCTCCCCCGCCCCGCCTCCTGCCCGAAGACAGCTGGGATCGGCTCCAGCACACACCGCGACCCTTGTGAAGATAAGCAGATCAGAAAATGGATGGATGACTTATGTGTTGTATTATTATTTTATGCTAAAGTTCTGTAAAGCGCTTTGTTACAGCTGCAACTGTGGTGAAAGCACTATATAAATAAAGATGTATTGTGTAAATATTGGTTTACGTTTTTGCGCCTGTGTGGGCAGCATTTTTCACAGCTCGTTTTTTTTTCAGCGGAGATTTCGGCCGACGGTCTGCGTTGGTGAGGCTGGATGGATGGCCGCTGGAGCTGAGGAGGAGGAAAGACGAACGTCGGCGCGAAGCGCCAATGTGTGTTTGCAAATGTGTGTTTGCGCCTGCAATTGAAGCGGATCGAGGTGGACCCGTCTTCATCAATGGGCGCTACAGCTTCTTGTTTACTTTCAAACTTACCTGGTAGCAGACGCGTGTGACGTCTTGATTGCTGTGATCATGACGTCTCCGAAACATCGGTGGAAGGAGACTTTGATTCTCTACTTATTGTCGATGTTTTATGTTTTACAATGTGTTCTGTTGTATTAATGTTTTATGTTTAATATTCTATAAAGTGCTTTGTTACAGATGCAACTGTTGAGAAAGCACTATATAAAGGAAGATGGATGTATTTATGTATTCGTAGAATGATTTTATTTGCTACATTAATTTACTATATTTGTCCAGATCGTGGGTCAGAGATTGGGACATGAATCACGTCTTGTATTGTTACTGACCCAGTAAAGTCAATAAAGCATGTAAACTCAACAGTTGTTCCAGTAATAGATTTGTCATCTTGTAAAATTACTTTCGATTAACTGCATGTAACAAATTAAGGCAGTCACATGTGGCTGTGTGCTTTACTTGTGCTTTGTTAATAGCTCACGACTGTTAAAAGGATCATTGCTACATTGTACCCTGAATGGTACAAAGGAGGGTCTGTATCGAGAAAAGAACAACATCATAATGTGCCACTTTATTAAAAAAGTAAAAACTCACTTTAATATTTTATGAAGCTTAATATAAAACGTTACAATCTTTTGCATATCTGCACTGCCATAATATCTATTTGTGTGTATATTATATATGTAAATATATGTATACATGTAAATATGTGTGTGCGTGTACGTGTGTGTGTGTGTGTGGGGAGTGTGTGTGTGTATATATATATATATATATATATACATACACTCCCCCCCCACACACACACACACACACACACACACACACACACACACACACACACACACATTTTTACATAGATACAGAAAAGACACAAACACTCAAACACACACACACAAACACACACACACACACACACACACACACACACACACACACACACACACACATTTTTACATTGATGTACATAATACATTGGCTTGTAAAATTATTCGGTCCCCTGGGACTTTTAAATCTTTTGCCACATTTCATTCTACAAACATCAAGAAATAAAAAATGATTTATTTATTTATTTTGTGAAGAATCAACACCAAGTGGGACACAGTCATAACGTGGAATGAAACTGCTATATGTTAAACTTTTCTTTTTTAGATATAAAAAAACTGAAAAGTGGGGGGTGCAAAATGTTTCATCCCCTTGACTCTCAGTGTGTGAGCCAGCTTTGACCTAAATGACTGATGTAGACAAATAGAGTCCACTTGTGTGTAATCTCGTTTTTGAATAAGTGCATTATGGTCTCAACAGAATATTGGGTAGCAAACAGCATCAAGAAGACCAAGGAACACACCTCATAGGTCCGGAATAAAGTTATGGGGAAGTTTAAAGCAGGATTAGGAGATGCAAATATTTCACAAACTTTAAACATCTCAAATGGAGAGAGTATCGGACCACTGCAAAGCTACCAAGACCCGGCCAATCCATCTCAACTTCCAGCCCAAACAAGGAGAGCACTGATCAGAGATGCAGCCAAGATGCCCATGTTCACTCGGGATGAGCTGCAGAGATCCACAGCTGAGGTGGGGGAATTTGTCGATAGGACAACTATTAGTCGCACACTCCACAAATCTAGTCTTTATGAAACAGTGGAAAAAAGAAAGCCATTTCTCAACAACCATAAAAAGTCCAATTTGAAATTTGACAAGCTACCTGAGAGACACTACAAACGTGGAAGAAGGTGCTCTGTTAGATGAAGCCAAAATTGAAGTTTTTCGACAACATTCAAATTGTTATGTCTGGTCTAAAAGTCACATTACACATCACCCTGGACACACCATCCCCACTGTCAAACATGGTGGTGGCAGCATCATGATCTGGGGCTGCTTTTCTTCAGCAGGGACAGGGAAGATGGTTAAAATTGTTGAGATTTGGCCAAATACAGGGCCATTTTAGAACAAAACCTGCTGGAGTCTGCAAAAGACCTGCGACTGGGACAGAGGTTAACCTTCCAACAAGCTAATGATCCTACCCGTGAAGCAACATCTACAGTGGAATGGCTCAAAACTAAAAATACTCTGGGTTTAGAATGGCCAAGTCAAAGGCCAGACCAGTATCCAATTGAGAATCTGTGGAAGGATCTGAAAACTACTGTTCACCCACACTCTCCATCTAACCTTCCCGAGCTGGAGCTGATTTGCAAGGAAGAATCAGCAAAAATTTCAGTCTCTTGATGTGCAAAACTGATATGCCAAAAGACTTGCAGCTGTAATCGCAGCAGAAGATGCTTCTATAAAGTATGGGGGCCCGAATAATTTTGCACACTCCAATTTTCAGTTCTTTTATTTCTAAAAATTTCGTATGAATTTCGTTCACCTTCATGATTGAGGCCCACTTGATGTTGATTCTTTGCAAAAAAAAAAACAACGAATTTTCTATCTTGTTGATTAAAGCCTGAAATGTTGCACAAGCCACTGTATGTAAACAGTCTATACACACACGCGTACATATACTTACATATATACATATGTGTCTATTCTTTTCCAACTAAACCCTGTGCTTTGAGAAGATACAACATCGGCTACAGTTGTCACAGCAGTTTTGGCCCATAACTATATCCAGAGACAATTGAAAAACATCACCTGTATGTGCATGGAAAGCAGGAAACAATGTGCATTCACAAATGACAACGTGTCTGTGATAACCAGTTGAACCCCCCCCCACCCCCCACCCTTTCCCAACAAATATACTGCAAACTCTACATTGTGACAACATCAGCACAGCAGCAGAGTATTTGAGTATTTTACACATGTACATATCCATCCTGTATTTGTGCAGTGAACATTTGTCGCCATCAGCGTACAACAATGTCCATCGAAATAGATCATATCAGTGCTTTGTATCAAGATAAAGAAAATGGGGCCTAAACTGACAGCCAGGGGGAGGATTACAAGTGAGGGCCAGCCAGCGTTGTGCTGAGAGGCTTCTCAGCTGTTTGCCATTTTTCATTTCGGGCAGTTGCTGGGCCAATGCTGCATCGATGTCAGAATGGACCAAGCTTGACATCCACACTCTCAGAAGTAGACATTAAAAGCCCCTCTCCAGCATAGCGAGGGAGAGACGTGAAGAAGCGAGGGAGGCAAAGCCGGCTCTTTCTCCATTATTGGGGAGTGAAAACAGCTGGGATAAGGAGTACAGGCAGGGGCAAAAAGTGCTTCCTCCCCTTAACTGGAAACGCACATGGCTCAGTGTTGCAGTGTGCACCAACCCATGTGTGTGTACGTGTGCGCGTGGGTGAAGAGGAGGAGGGTCTGTCGGATCTGTGTCCATTCGCGGTGATCCACATCCAGTCTCATGCTTGTGCTTCTTCTCCCTCCCCCACTGCAGAATATAAACAGTGAGGCTGAAAATCCTGGTGGCTTCAATCAATCTTTTCTAGTTCCTCCCCTCCTGGTCGCTGCTTTGGAGGGGGGAAAAATGCTGCTGTGCACTACATGGCAAAAAAGTACAAAAGAAGACTAACAAACATGAGATTAATAAAGTACCACAATAATTGTTTCAGCTCCATATATTAATGCATGCACTTTTTGGATCAAGCAGGATAAATTGCACCAATACAGACCAGACTCGATTCATGGCAGTGGCGTGAGCTATTCATCGTCCAAAAGGAAAAAAAAAAAAAGAACAGCGCAATAAAATACGTTTGTGCCTTTGTTTCTACGCACGTTCTCACACATTAACACTTTAAACATATGCTACTCACCTTTTAAACCTTTGCATGATTCTCTCACAGTGAGCTCATTCTACTATATGCTTCATCGCTCTTGCCTCATAACCTCACAGCAATTTATTAAGGGTTTATTTTGTTCTTCCGTTCTTTTGTTAACGTTCCCCAAAGCTACATGAAAAGACATTGTTTACAAATGAAGGATGCGGAGGCCGGAGAGCAAGCTGAGGAGGGGGCGAAAGGCAACCGTCCAGGGGGTACTCCACGGCTGTTTTCTTTGGAGTGCAAGCTTTCTGTTGCTATTCCAACCACCAAATGTTGAAAACCACAGAGAGAGCAACTTTTGACTTGGAGCCAGGGAGCAACCAGAACATTGACAGCCTTTCATTAAGAAATATGGACCAGCTTTTCCGCGGATGTTGAGTGCAATAGTACAATGGCCATACAATCAAATTTAAAAGGAAAAATAAGTCACTTATTTGATAAAGTATTTAGGAAGAGATCACTCTTTTACACTCATACGGAAACGGTTTTGTATTGTGAAATCTGTCACCCGTGTAACTCTTGCTCAATACTCTGGCAGCCCCGGACCTGATCACTTTACCCTGTAAATTGCTGCCAAACATGCATGCATGAATGTGCGTGCATATGCGTGTGCATGCGTGTGTATGTGTCTGTCTGTGTGATTGTGTGTGTGTGTGTGTGTGTGTGTGTGTGTGTGTGTGTGTGTGTGTGTGTGTGTGTGAGTTTGAGAGCGAGAGAGTGATAATGGGGGAGAGAGAGAGAGAGAGAGAGAGAGAGAGAGAGAGAGAGAGAGAGAGAGAGAGAGAGAGAGGTGTGTCATCCAGCCTCAGGCTACAGATAGATATTTGTCAAATCTGAGCATGAATTGCGAACTGACGTCATAACTACCTTGAGGATTACGTTGTGAACCAAACAAAACACAGAAGAGAAACCAAGAGGGCCACTTTTGATCACCGCCAATGAGTTTAGGGCACATTGATGGTGGTGTGTGAAATAAACGCCTTCACTAGTCTTGGCTCACATTTGAGGTTGAGCAGCCCGACAAATGACCTGCCGGCCTTTGTTTGTACAAAACACCACAACCCTCCCTGCCAGGCAACAGGTCAGTGTGCACAAGAAACCTATTTCAGATGTTTGCTTAGGTTGAGCTGAGCTCCAAAAATCTCTGACATCCATCCGCTTAGATTACATAAATGTGCTCCCAAGTAGGTGTGTGTGTGTGTGTGTGTGTGTGTGTGTGTGTGTGTGTGTGTGTGTGTGTGTGTGTGTGTGTGTGTGCGTGTGCGTAACGGCTTGCACTGTGGCCTCCTTTTCCTAATATAGATAGCATCATTACCACTGCTCTCTGTGCTTTGCACAAATCATGCATTTACATTTTCTTTGCTGATAGTCATTTCAAATGTGCTCAAATTTTAAGTTACACCACATGTCAAATAAAGACCATTTGTACAAAAATAAAGATATTATGGAAAATGATGCGCGCAAAGATGAGTAAAGTCAATTGTACAGTATTTTGAAGATGAATATTCCAGTTGTCCTCTCCATTTCTTTTTGATAAAACATGTTGGTCCTTTTAGGGTCGAGGCTGGTTCAAAACTACAGACTGATGTAGGAAAAGTCTGAACCTGGATTAAAACCCTGTTTGTACCTGATGTCAACACAAATTTGCTCATCACTTTGTTTGTCTGGAGAAGTCATAGTACCTCGAAGTATGTACAGCAACGAGTGTGGCAAGTGAACAGGACTGTCCCTGTTATGATCTCTTTTGTGACGGCTCTGCATGTCTGCCAGCTACAGGCCGGTGACATACATCTCCATTCCATCATTAAATGTGAAGATGGTGGTGGTGCTGGAGCTGTTGCCCCCTTTCACATCACTGATGGTCTCATAGAAGTTCTCTCCCCCAGGCAGACCTCGAACAGGCAGGGGGTTGGATGCGGAGCCCTGAGGTGCAGCTGATGGCGCCTGTTGTTTCTTCCGCTTGAGGGTGGCGGTAGCGCCGGCCGTGCTATTACTGGCGCCGGCCTGCTCACGCTTACGATGGCTGTCAATGGTAGCGTACGCAGTGTCGGACTCTGCTGCCACGCACGCGGGCCAGGCCCTGTCACCTGTCGGCTCGTAACACGGCTCCTCCTGGGAACGCGCCTGGGCCTGGACCCCTCGGCCTCGGCCCTTTCCTCTTTCCCCACCAAAGGAGCGCGGAAGGGTCTTCGCTCCATTGCTCTCCAATGGAGACTTTTTCTTCTGGGATTTGCACACAATGGAGTAGGTGTCGGCAATCTGACAACAAAAAATGAGAGTGACTGCTGGGTTAACCGCATTCAGCTATGGATACATGTGTCCTCAATTTAATCACAGTATGAAGTCAACTTCTCTACAAATGATGGACGAGAGGGCCTAATTGATATTCTGGTTTATCACAGACATGTTTGAAAGGGTTAAGTTCAGCACTTTGCGCATAAGCATGCTATTATGTACTGCAGAGATGAGTGCTATTGTATTTGCGCCAAACATATCTTTTGGAATTATGGGCAAAAAGTGCAGTCTCGTGGTGGTGTGGTCTCAGCAGACCATAACAAATGTTCCCACGTTTGTTATGGTCCAGTGAAATTAAGTTGACCTGTTGGGCCGAAATTCCAAAATGTGCATTTGGCGACTGCTCATCACCAAAAGAACAACAAAACTCGAATGAAGCATGGTTGAGGCAGCGGTATAACACTTTATTGAATTAGGTTTTGTTTTGTTTTTCCTTGGCTGCACTGGGAATTGGGGACGACTTAGCGGGAATTATGAACAGTTCAAAATAACTGTCAGTGTTAGGACAAAACCTTCAGGCTTCGGCTAGAAATAAAAAAAAATAAAAAAAATAAAAAAAGGGAAAAGCATCTGGGGTTAATCTGAGGTACTTTAAATCAGTGTTTTTCAATCTTTTTCGAGCCAAGGCATATTTCTTTCATTGAAAAAAATCCCGCGGCACACCACTACCTGAAAATGTGAAAAAAGCTTATTTTAACAATTAAGTGTTATATTGTTACTATAAGCGTTTTTTTAACATTGAAAATTAACGCAATATTATAACACATTGAATCGGAATCACATCAACATCAATCCAATATTTGGTGCATTTCTTTTAATGGCAAGTGTAATACCGTCAATTAGAACTTTAACTTGCTCAGGGTCGGATTTTTTTCTGTGTGACAGCCGGCTCTTTTTCTCCCGGTCGTTTGCGCTCTCCCGCAATATTGTATCAATCCCTTTTCCCATCTTGAGTCTTTGTATAATTCCAACATCATTTGAATGACTTTTCTGCTGAATGTGTCGCTTGAGGTAGTCCAGGTTCCATTTTGTACGTATTTTTCCATCAGAAAATTTGCTTACAGCTTAAGCTTTGCTGCATGTTTTCCAGAGCAGACCTTTCTCACTCGAAAAAGAAAATATCTCACCCAGTTTTTGGAATGTAAATTTTCCATTCATTGTGCCGATAACTCTCACATGCTGCTCCATTTTCACCTCTCCACTCCTCACCGCTGCTTATTAAGCCCACCCAACTCCAATGGGAGCCTATCAGCTTCGGCTAAACAAGCCCCAACATAATGGCAGCCAATCAATGTCCGCTTCAGGCTGTGACTGACAGTTGTTTCCCCACCCTCAACAACTCGAACACAGGAAGCCAACACATAAAAAGGGCTCTGAGAAAAAGACAACCCACCTCCAGAAACAATAAAGGCAGAGCTTAAAATTTAGATTAACACAATAAAAAAAAAAAATAACGAGCTAAATGTGACTGCAATTAATTAATCGCAATTAACACGATAATTTTCCACCTCTATCCAAAAACATTACTTAAGTGGACGTAACCAAGTAAAGCTAGCACATGCATACGCACCCCGGACCTATACCACAAGGAATATTTGCAGCCGAAACTATTTCAGGCAAAATGATACAATGTCCAAACAAAGGAGAAAACTTTGCAGACTGCTAATTTGAGGTGCGAGACCGTTTGTGTGGGCAAGAGAGTGGCACTGTGTTTGCTCTGTGCTGTAACCTGACCTACTTTGACAGGCCAGGATAAGACAGAGTAAACTGTGTTATCGCTTCGTCGAGGTCTAGGCGGAGAGTCGGCGTTAGTCTCTCAGTGGATAGACCTGTTAAAGTTTCACAAGTGCTTTGGCAACACAACAGCGAGGTACGGTGTGAAAGATCTGGACGCCAGCCAACCCGCTGACAGAAAAAACCTGCTCAGTGGTTTTCACTAATGGACTTTGCTCACATTTCAGTTGCTTCAAAGGAGCCATTGTCAGTGGAAGTGTGTGTGCATGAATACAATACACGAAGGCTGGGCAGTTATGGAAAAACATAATCATCGTGAATATTTTGATTGATATTGAAATCAATCAATTAAAGCCCAGATTCGAAACCTGGACCTCTGTACTTTGAGGCGTATGTGCTAACCAGCCGGCCAGCATTAGCACTTTGTTTCTAAAATTAAAAATGTCTTGTCTTCAAGTATGCAATGCGTAATTCCATTTTGTTGTGTGTTTCGGGTGAAAATAAAGGACAACTGAGGTGTTAGTGAACAGCTTAAAGCACACTAAGGGAGAGCAGAAGCATAACATTGGTCCCACGCATGTTTCAAGGAACATGTGCATTCAGTGCGCTTTCACAATGAAGGAACTTGCAAACAAACACACACCACTATTCGACATATTAATCGTTTTCAATTTATTATGTCGGTGTAAATTTGTCCGCCGGAAGCTGGTAGTGAAGCCTGTGTGAGGTCGTGTGGGGAATTGGGATAACTACTGCCGTGACTTGTGGCATTTTTGTGTCAAAATTCCACCAGCCAGGCAGCACAGGAGCAGATGACTGTGGGACGTGTGTGTGTGTTTACCTTCTCCACCTAAACCAGCAGCTCAACTTCACAGTCAATGGCGATGTGCATTTTCTTGCACACATCTGATATCCCATTCTAACAAAACTCTCAAAAGAAGGAGCCACACAAGTATTTTGAATCCCATTGCGTTTTTACCGAGCTCAAGCTACTATTCAATTCGAATACTGTACAGCGGTGCCTTGAGATATGAGTTTAACTAAAACCGTGTGGCAAAAAAAGATTCGCACATAGAGGAGTGAATCTCACGGTTTGCTCCAGGGCCCCCTTTTTTTTTTTTGGCACTGCCCCACCCCAAATTCCCTACAAAAAACACTGATAAACGTTCATTTTTGTTTTCCATGAAAAACGGAACGTAAATGAAGACAAATAAACCTGGAAAAAACTGACACACCCTATATATTTTAAAATATTGAAAAAAATATAATAACATATCAGGGAAAATGCAAATATGCATCGACTGTTAAATTGTAATATCACCAGTCACCACTAGATGGCAGACATGTCTTTAATTGCACTTACACTGGGTCCTATACTGCCCTACACTACAACATGAGTAGCCTAAATATTTTTTGGGGGATTAGGAATTATATCAAGGACAAACATCGTAAGATTAAGAATTTGAATGACTTGCTTTCTGTGAAAATGAATGCACACAATGAATTTTAGCACTGAATGTTGGGTTCTTGTTTGGCACTTTTGTACTGTCCTTGAATGGTTGTTTTCATGCAAGAGACCTCTTTGCACTGGAAAAAAAAATAACAACGGTTATTTTAATTGCCTCAAACCCTTTGTTGCTGGATTATTTTTATTACATGCATTAAGAAATGTATGATGAAAAATAAAATACAACATTAACAGCACGTGTTTTATGTATTTGCGCATATTACGTCCACATTCAAAATGGCATTTTTGACATAGATCTGGTGAGGAAGTGTGTGGTCCTATGTGGCCCACCTGGAGCACTGACGAAAAATTATGGCCCCCTCCAGCATTTATACTGGAGGGTGCCATTAAACTATTGTCCCATCCCTGTTCTACTGGTATACATGCACACACATATATACACATACAAGCCTGCCCACACACACACACACACACACACACACAAATCATTGCCACTATACTTCAGTTGAATTTAATTTTAAAATTCAATACACAAAATATATTTTTTTAAATCTGTTTTTTTGTCTATGTGTGCCCTGTAATTGGCTGGAAACCAGTTCAGGGTGGAACCTGCCTACTGCCCCGACACAGCTCGACTAGGCTCCAGCTTGCCCGCGAACCTCGTGAGGATAAGCGCTTTGGGTAATGGATGGATGGATGAACTGACCTACAAAATAATCATGGCTTCAAAGTCATTTTATATGGAGGACAAAGAATATGTGCCTGTGATTTAGCTTATTTTATGATCTGTCTAAAATGGTGTTTTCCATTGATGGCATGAAGCTAAACTGCCATTTGTGTGGCAGGGTGAGATAATTGTTTTAAAAACACAACATGTAATTATCTTTATTTTATGTTTAGTTTTCAAGTAAAAATCAAGTGACAGTGGCAAATAAACAGTTTGACTCTTTTATTGATTAATTGTTCATTATTTGCCCAACTGCTGCTTATTGGGAAGTGAATTATGTTGTGTCACTGATATCTCAAGGCATCACTATATTATGACGCCACACTGTATTTTGTAACCTTTTTGGAAACATAAAATATCAAGGCTTGAAGCGTTTTCACAAACTGTGCACCATGCATGTCTGAGCAAACCCGTGTGCTTTTTGTGCAACACGCAGTTTGTAACATTGCGCAGCACAGGAAGGAAGTCACAAGACAGTGGGGATTTCAGAACTGGGCTGCAGCTGTTGAGGAAGCCCAAACACTGTCTGTTGTCTTTTCCCCTCCCCTCTGCTGGGTTTCTTTTCTGTTATGACTCTCCTACAGAAGACACAAATTATACGGGCAGCTACAAACTGCAAACTGGGGAACGTGGCAATGAACAAGTCAGAGAAAGAAATCAAAGCAGACAGCAAAATTCAGATAACACAACGTGCAGTTAAGGCCAGCCACTCTGAAAGCAACAGTCAACTGGTATTATGTGCCTGTAGAATTCTACAACTACACTCTAACTCTTGACTTTTAACTTAAAGAGTTTTAGAGAGGGAAAACCGCCCGGGGCCGATTACATTCGTTATACACACACAAAGATCAGGTTAGTAGTCCCCCAGAAGTGCCATGTATGTCTGACATGACGGCTCCACAACTGTTTGGAGCTGTCAGCGTGCCGCACGAGCCCATGGAGAAAGAAAGAGCGGATTGCGAGTGGATTAACGGGGGAGGAGCTGCTGCATGTGGAAGCAGATGTGGTTGGATATATGACTTTGAGACATGATTGGACAGTGCAGACTTCCTGCTCTCGCCACCAGACATCTCCTCCCCATATAATTAGGAAGAATAGGTCTGATGGCAAGCCAGTGCCCAGTTGGGGATCATCCCATGCAGCCTGGGAAGGAAGACATGGTGTTTGAGAGGGGAAAAAAAAACACTGAGGAAAAAAAAAATCTCAGTGGATGAGAAGCGGAGATTAGATTTTAGGAGCGAGTGATGCTTATGTTGGATCCATCTGGTGGATTGTAGCTTAGGGGGG